TACATCATTAGTAAGTAATCATCATTTTCTTCAGTTGATGTAGAAATTTAAGTCATATAAATTGAAATATTAGTCATGAACTGTATCACATTACTACATCTAATGCAGCATATACATCTCATATCAAGTAATTTTTTAAAAGAGTCGAAATATAACAATAAAATACCTCATGCTGACCAGGACATCTCCATCACGAAATATAAAAAGAAGGATATTTTCTTGTGTGACATCATGGAAGTTAGCATTTTTTTCATTTGCAAAAAATAAGTCTGGCTTCCAAAGACATTTAAACATTGTTGGATCCACTGTCAGTGTATCTGAACCTCTCCAGTCATTGGGCAGTTTGAGTCTGGGGTCATTCCACTTCTGTCTTAGGAAGATGTTGACTCTATAATCCTGATGGGAGGAATTCATAAATATTAGATGAGCCAAAAGTCTAGCCAAAAACCCATGGAGGAAGAAAATTGTTCTATCAGATTGAAAAGAAAAGCAATTTATGCCTCGATTTTTTTAATAACAAAGATAGTAATCATTGCTTAAATGACACTGATAAGTGTTTAGTACAAATTGGTAGATGATATCTCACACATATTTTGAATATGGTAAGATTTTTTTAAAAAGGGCCAAATTCTCCCTTCCTCATTTTTCTGTCTCCTTGATAGTAGTCCTCTGTTACCTAGGCATAGAGAAGAGCATGCAGCAGGACAGAAGGAAGCCACAGCCTGACTACACTAAATTGCTGCAGGCAGCAGGCATGATATCACTTCTATCAGGATATCCTGTGAGTGTAAATCCCAGATTATTCTCCATGTGGTTAGATGGCACACTGATGGCAAAGAATCACACTATAAAAGCAGAAAACAGAGCAGGTAGGTAGTAGATTTTACACTACACACAGAAAACACAGCCTCAGACCTTGTAACAAAGATTTGGGACTATTTTAGTAACTAAGGAAAACTGATGCCAGTTTGCCACAAAAATAATGAGGCACGATGTATGAAAGCAGAAACAAGTAGGTCTCAAAGAGACAAAATTCAAGACACAGAGGAAACTTTCCTCTGAATTCAGCAGAACTCTTGCTTAAGGATGGACAATAGTAAAGCCATACTCAGTGAGAAACTAATTTTGCCTTCAGGAATTGGAGTAGCATGTGTCTCAGGGCAAAACAATACCCACATGCATTCTGACCTTAGTGAAAGACGTGTGTGTTCAACGGAAAAATCTGACCCAGTATGTCAGTGATGACTTTTCTGTCTTACTTCTAAGTCGTTTTTGCTTTTTACATTTACATTTAATCCAGGGCCTCTTTTTTATGTCTGTGTAAACTAGGCAGATCACATACGGAAAGAGAATAAAGGTAATGTTGAAATAAAGTAAAAAAATAATAATAATTTAAAAAAAATTCCAAAATTCTATATGTAAGATAACTTCTATCTCCAGTCTTTGTAGTTCTCTTCCATGGTATGTTTTCATTTTTCATAACTGTCTATTAGGTACAAAGCATCCTGAGAGAAGAGCTGTGTCTGAACAGTGAAAACACTGCTACTGATTTACAATTATAGCAAAATGCTAGAAAACGGTGAGTGAAAGTTCTCAGTCTATTTTTGGTTTGTCAATGTATTCTGCATAACAAACTAATGATATAAAGTTGCTTATTTTACGCATGAATGCTCTCTTACACATTCTTCTGTTGATTCCATGTGAGTTCTCTTCTGCTGTATTTACTATAATACATACATTTACAGTCCAAAGCAAGTGCCATGTTGAGACAGCCATGCTAACTCCAACAGGAAGGAGTTCCCTTGGCTAAGACCTCATGCAGAATTATTTACACTGTTGATTTACCCTGTTAATTGGAATACAGTATGCAGTTTCCCATGTCCAGTCCACCAGTGAGATCAGCCCAGGTATTTATTCCACTATACTGTGTAATATTATTCCTTACTGCATTGTAAGGAAAAGCAAAGCATCAAGACTAAGCTGAAATAACTGAGGCACTATTTCTTAATATGCACAGTTTCGAGAGACATGTTACTTGTTGGCAGTCTGGTTTTGAAAAAAAAAAAATGTGGTCTGACTCTTATTCATATAAAGACCTATATTATCTTCTCGAAGTAAAGAAGCAGTATAAAATAATAGGTGATATGAAGTAACTTTGTACTGGAAGGCTCTCACAGAGAAGTTTCAGAACAGGAGGGAACTCAGGTTATTATCTCAGAAAGCATCTTTCGAATTATATGTATATAATTGAAAATTTATTTTACTTGCTGCTTGCTGAAGTTTCCATTTCATATGCACTTCTTGCCTCAGTGGAAACAACTCCTTTAAACCGTATGAGATAAATAATGCATACAGTTAATGTTCACAAGCATTACACTATTCATTACACCAAAATTAATTTCCCCATAAACAAGTGCATTAACCTAATTTTAACAAAATAAAATGCCTTCTCAAAGCCATAGGCAAATGATAAACAGTGTCCAACACTTGCCTTGAGCTTACCCATTCAGAAGAAGGGGATGTTTACATCACTGAAAAGCAGAAAGCACTGGTAAAATAAGAATTGGAAGTCAGATCAGGTGGATGCTATTTTATTTCCTTCCTTGCTTTATTACAAATGAACTTAAATATACCAAACAACAGGATGTTGTAACACTTTCAGAACTTGATTCTGTTCCTATTTTAGGAAGAAAAATCCCATTAACCTAAAATAGGTAGGTTCAGACCTACCTAAATGACCAGAAACTTGTAACATGGTGTACCTGGAGAGAAAGGCCATCAACATACTTGAGACAATATAGAAAATGCAGAAGGAAGCAAAGACATGTCAGGATACAAAACTGTGGCTAGCCAGACAGTGATGTGCAAAAGGTTTTCTTTTAGAAGAATATGAACTATTACAGTATCTGGCAGCAGTATACACTATGATCTGGCATAAATCTATTTTGAAAGAAGTCTGCAACAAGTCCTCTCAAATTTGGGCAATTAATTTTAAGATTCAGTATGTGCACCACAATTAGGTTCAATAGGGACTGAAGGAGAGGTCTCCATGAAGCAGATCGTCTCCCTCCTATACATTTTAAAAATACTCCTTGAATATTGCAGAATGATTGGCATTTTATAATAGAGTCAAATAGCAATTAAAAGCCTGAAACTAGTGGGGGAGGGGTGGGGAGGTGGATGTGGGAGTTGGGAGGGTGAAAGGGATATTAATCAGCATTAGAGCTAGGAGGACCTGGTAGGTAAAAAGAATCACAGAAGTATTCTACAAGGCTTTGTTTTCCCATGGAACTCCAACAGAAGGCAAGTTGTTTTCAGGGAGGTTGAAAGGGGAGGCATTCTAGGAAATATTTCAATGCAACCTACTAAACTGTGGGCATGTGGCCAGAAAACCTCCTCAGGCCAGAAACCAGGCATAGCCAATACATCTCTTCCTGCAAACTGGAGCACAGAGCAGATCAAGAAAGGCTTTTCTTACATGAACTGCACTCATATAAAGAAAGGCAGCATAATAGCACTGTCTGTTACTAAAGTAGAAAATGGCAGTTTTACGATTAAAATAAGGAAACCAAGTTTTCCTTTATATACATAAATATTAAAAAGACCTTTCTGCAAGATTTTAAAAAAAGGAGAAGGAGGAAGCGGTGTTTTACCATTTGAGACAGTGACGAAAGGTTACGCTGCAAGTACAAACCTTGAATATAGATTCTGTAGACAGAGGGTCAGGTCATAAGCACAGTTAAAATATTATAGCCCTATGGATATTTACAGCAAAAAGGATCTATGCCTAGGAATCCTTGACAGGTCACCCAGTCTGTAACAGTTTATAAATGTGAGATAATCAGCATATTATCCCACAAATCTGCAGTCTAAAAAAATAATCTGCAAAATCAGAAGCAGAGTTAGCATGGGGATTAGACAAGTTGCCTAATGAGCTAGAAGGAAACAAGCTGCAGGATTCAAGATAAAGGGAGCTTACTGGCAGGTAGCAGCTCAGCTATAAACTCTTCTCCACTTTAGCGGTGCAAATCCCTATTCACTCCGTAGTTCACTAATTTTTTGTTTAGTTTTTCCAGGTAACTTGTTTGATACATGTGTGGAAATGTCGCAATTCTCGCGAATATTCTACAACACCACATTAAAACACTTTGCTTTCTAGACCCAGAGCAAATGTTTGCCCTTCACTTTCTTCACAAAGGCTTGATTAAAGCAGTATCTGGGCATAGGATCCAAACTATGGATCCTATCTTACTTCAAACAAATATTACTTCAATTCTATCGATGCTTTTCTATAAAGAAACTCCCTTCTCTCTTAAAACTCCAGCTCAGTAGGAGGTAATCTGTACTCTTTCTTTGTTGAGTGTGAGCCAACTGCATAGCTAAGAATGCAATGGTCATGGGACCAGAAGGATGGCAAGCAAAAAATAATTGAAAATAATTTTGTGGGATTCCTGAAATATGTGAGGAACTCCCAGAACCAGCTACCACAATCTCAAGGCAAGGGACACTGTAGGATCCTGTTGACTAGTTAGAAGCTACAGACATTAAGCCCAGAGTTGGCTATTTCAGAGAAGGGTCTGAGACTGGGATACAGGACATCTTGTTGAAGTTATTTCCTTCCAAATCTCTTTTAAACATCCTTCTGAACAAAAGGATATCAGCATGCCAAATGGCCTTTTCTCACTGGGACTCTACACATTTGTTTGTCGAGCCTTCTACCACCACCTCACTTCCAATAATCTGGGACTCATGGTTATTTTTCCCCACCCTTCCAATACCCAAAAGAAGGAAACATCCTTGCAGCATGGCTAAACCAGAACACTTGACCCCCACACAGATTTTGAGAAAACCTATGAATCCAGATACTACAGCCAGAAGTGGCTACAGAGGCAAGGATCATCATGACACTTCACCAACTGAAATACTTGGAAGTACATCACTCCAATCAGTTTAGTAGCTTCTGGTAACTTTAGAGACAATCAAGAAATCAATATTCCTTGCGATTACACCAGCGCCTTGAGACAGTAGAGATGCAGGCAGCCACTCTTCTCCAAGACCGAGGAACCTTTTTTAGCAGTTCTGTCACTGCTTACATATGTGTCTCCACTCTGAATGTGTAAGGCCCCTCCAGCCCTTCACAGAGCTGGTGCCTCAGCTCCAGGAAACATTTTTCCTGTGATTCTGGAGGAAAAAGTTTTTTCCTAGTCTAAGGGACGTGCTTCTTCTGTCTGGTGCATTACCCAGACCACCTGAAGACAAGTACCAGGCTCTCCCCAAGAGAACAGTGGTTCCTGAATGTCAACAGGACCCAATGCCCACTGCAGCAGGAAGAGTTTCCCAAGTGATATATGGAAGAACAGATTGAGCGTCTCTTTTGTCAGTGCTTCCTGTGATACATTAAGGCAACCAAGAAATAAACCAAACATGCTTAGCTATCATGGTGATCGACTGGACATAGAAATCTAAATAAGAACATAAATTAAGTAAGGATGGTGCCTGAAGTTCTGAAATATGGAGGAAAGCATGACACCTTATAAAACATCCTAGTAAATTTGTGACTGACCATACCAGGAATTCACAGACATGCATTGCTGTAGAAGGCATACCTAATTTTTTGGGGGAAGCACACTCCTTACATTCATGTTTTGTAGACATTTGGATCTGGGTGAATTGTAAAAAAGACTCTGTAAAAGTCACTTTTTAAAGCATGCAATAAATTTCAGAAACTTGAAAGGGCCATCTGGCCTAATATTCCTGCCATCTTAGACACTTATCTCACTCCTACTTTCCTGCTCTTCCTCCCTACCCTCTTTAAACTTCAGTCCTCTTTTTCTTTTCAGGAAATAAATCTTGAGGTATCTTCGGTATACTTACATTCATGGTTTTAATATCACTTTCCACTAATGCTATTAGTTGACTTACTATTACTTGCAATCAGATCTAAATCTTTATTTACTCCTAGTTAAAGAAACAAATTTCTGGCCAAGCTGTTCAAAAGCTGTTTCAGCCATCACATATGTTTAACTCTGAGTGGCTCTACAGTCCCACTGAAATGTTATTAGGGTATCGTGCAAACTGGTTCTGAATTTTAAGTGGGTATTTACTTACAACAACAACAAAAGGTGTTTTATTATTTATTAGCTGTATTATGGTTTATTGCTTCTGTACCATTATGAGTAGGAATGCTGCTTTAGTCACAGCATTAAGAAGAGCAGCCTGATTTTGGGAACTGCCTCAATGCTTTGAATGCAGCAGACCACAAAGTTATTTCTAAATGGGATGCTCAGGCAGCGCCTCAGAACTCCCACGCTGAGTGCATCCGGGCTGTGGCTTCTTCCAGTGTACTGGCAAGACATGGTGTGCTCCCCTTTTTTGCATAAAAGAAAACCCCAATCAGGTCAGAACACCCTCAACAATTAAATGTCATTTTTTGCAACATTTTACAGTATTTACTGGAAATACCATTGCAAAAAAGTTCTTCAAGCCCCAAATATTTTGAACGGCTTTGCTGAAGTCACTTTTCATTTTGAAACTGATTTTATTTTCTATAGAAACAAAAACTGTCAAAGTTGTAATAAGGATTATTTGGTGCTGTTATTGACATGTTGAAATCTTCTGACTGAACTGGAAACACATTTTCAGAAACGTCACTCCTCAGTTTATTTCTCTCACATAGTAAATAAACAGAAGTAAGAGTATCGTCATTGATGCTCTACTCTGTTACTCCTTCTACTGTCCCTCCATGATTTACTCCTATCCTCAGAACTACATAAAATAGAGAACCTGTATGCTTCAGCCTTACGTATGTTCCTTTTCTCTCATATACAGTCACAGTATTTACTTCAGTGATACACCAACCAGCTCATATATTAACTCTCAGAAAGATGATTAATTGCCCGGCACTTAATATCTTATGGAAATAAGTGTATTTCTTGTATCTGAGAAACCATGGATTTCCTTTCATATACATCACATTCTAAAAGCTATGACAATGTGTGGACAAATACAGAATGAAACAGATTAAGAGTTTTATGACAAATCAGAGTCAGTCTATCCCTATTAACTCAATTCTCAGTGTCTACAGCCATAACAATTATTTCTACTTTATAGTTCATAATCCTCAGCCTGAAACATAATTTAATAAGAAAATGTCCATGTGTGCTATATTAATTTCATTTCAGTCTTACCATAGTTGTCTCTTGAATTGATCCAAAGCTGTTAATGAAGATATTGACTGCAACATCAACTGGAATTCCTTGGGGAAAAAAACCAAAATATTCCTAGTGAACTGCACAGCCCAGCAAAGATAGGTTATTCTTCATTTAAAGTTCCTTTATAGTGGTATCACAATGTGAAATGTTTTTTATACAGTCATACAACTTTATCTTTTCAAGTTAGTATACACAGTTTTTAAGAGCTATGGTTTAATCTATTTCCATTGAAAGCCAATAGAAATCACAAACAATCTTATCAACCTAGTGATAAGAAACAAAACCTTAGTCCAGAGTTCTAAGTTTAAAGCATTTCACAGCTCATAAATTTGAATATTTTTCAAATTACATTATTTTCTGTTACCACAGAATGCACAATCCAGTATCACTTTTGCATGCAGTGTAATGGATAGAGGCAATTCAGGTTTCTAGCAGCGGACACTTTTAACTGTCAAGGTCATAACGATGATCTACTATCCCAAATTACCTATTTATGATGACACATTTACTTATACTGTAAGAGGATACCTCTTTGTGCAAGTACATAACTGTAAAGTATGAATACAGGCAGATAAAAAATGTTGCATGCAGCTTTCACAGCTACCTAGCCTTGGTGCAAGAGAAAGCGGCTCCACTTTACAATGGTTACCAATTTGCCAAGAAAAATTTCTAGAAGCCAACAGCTGTGAAGATATTAAGATGGACTGGATTTTTTCCTCCTTTCCACAGCCAGGATTCCTGTAGTTGAAGAGGGATGGTGTGACAGCTGCTACATCTGCCCTTTGTCACCCTGCGGGAACTGATTGGCAGTCATCTAATTTGGTGTTAACACAGAGTTATCACGAAGCACGGAGAAGTGGCCTGATGGTTGTGAGAACTAATTATGGTCCACCGGTTTTATTTAGCACCTATATGTTGAGAGTGCCAGTATGTATAATAGATGCATGTGTCTGATCCCTTTTACACTGTTACAAGTACCTAATTCAGTGAAATTCTTCCTATTTTAAGCAATAAGAGATATAACAGTATATAAACACTGTTTTGGCAAAGTAAGCAAATACAAAGTAATACATGCCTCATCTAATAGTTTGCTTGTCTGCATAATATTTTAGTGTACATTTAATACATAAACTCAAACTCGTTCTCTTGGTTCACCAGAAAATCACTATGATAAAGTTTCACTTTTTTCAGTTAAACCAATTCGTTGTTTGTTGGGTTTTGGTTGGGTTTTTTTTATTTGGTTGTTATTTTTTTTTTTAATCAGACCAGTTAAATGTGGAGCCTTTGGTTATGCAATAAGCATTATACTTTGTTTAGCGCCTGATGCATGTGACAGCACACCCACCACACCACTAGTATCCAAGAGTGCGCTATCTCTTCCAGATTTGAGTAGAACGTGCCGTCCAAGAAAATCACTCATCTGTGAGGAACGTTTTAACACGGCCAAACCACTTGTCAGAAAATGTTCTTTTTCTTCCACCTCCCTGTGAGGTAACATTGCATGTCCTCCCTTTCCCTTCCATCTAGATTCTTACCAGACTGCCAGCAGGGTTATCAAAAATATAAAGAAACCTGCAATACGCTTTGTGATTTATCATGCTGGAGAACAGGTAGAACAGAGGCTGGACATTTATTCTTTGTGAGAAGGCTCAGTGCTGAAAACATATAAATAAGATTCTACAGAGAATAAGAAAAAAAGCAGGTCACTTGCTGAGAACTGAGTTTAATACATTTATAAAAGTAAAACAGAGCATCTAAAGAAGGTCTTTTCAAAAGCACAATAAATACTGTAGAATTCCAAATTTACCATACTATTGATATCCATGTTAAAATGTCTCTTAATGCACATACAATTAAATATAATTTTTAAAAAGAAAGAACTGACTTATGTAAACTGCAGTGTCTGTAATAATGTAATAAAATGGTCTATGATGTCTTTTTCCAGCAGGGAAATAATCTAATTCCTAGAAAGTGTAACTTACAGCTGTGTGAGTTATTAGAGGTTTTTCAGAAAATATGTATTCCAACCTTTTCTGCATATGTAAGGAAATCACATTTGCCCACATGGAAGATTCCTAGAAGATTTGACTACCAGTGAGATGTTTTAAAGTCAGAGAATGTGTTTAAATTCATTATCTATTTGAAATCTCAAAGTGTGTAAGCTGTATTACTAACATATCATTAAAAGGTTTAATAACTGTATGGTTTCCAAATAGTGATACTGCTAATCCAAAGTTTTATGAAGTCATCTTAAAGGATCTCTGTAGAGAATTTTGGTGGCTTAAAATACTGTAAAGCAAAGATGCTATTAAAGTCCAACTAAAATGTAGGGATGAACAGATATTTTAAAAACTTATTCTATAAAATCTAGTTTTGTTTTTTAAAAAAAAGAACTTTTATATAATAATAATATTAAAGCATCACATAACTGTTACAATCATGAAATCCTAACATATTACCTTTCAGTCTGAAAAGGTAAATACCTTCTGCAGTTTCACACTATCTAGAGAAATTTCCATTTAAAAAAAAAACCAGAAACTGAGGTTTTGAATATTATCTCTGTTATCTGAAACTGTTATATCTCTGAATATCTCTGAATATCTCTGAAACTTATATAAAGTTTTCTATGTGTGAAAAGAGAAAAAGTTTAAAACCAAAGATTAAAAGAAAGACTGAAATATCAGACAAACCTTTGAAATTGGGCCTTATCCTGGGATCATAACTGAGCAATAGTCTATTCAAGATATTGCTAGTAGAATTAACTGGTACTCTTGCAAGGTCTTCAGCTGATTGCTGGCTGTAAAAGGAAAAGTGCATTAGTTACTACTAAGGCAGAATCAACTGTGTGCTTAAACTTAGGCCATTTTAAAGTTATGCCATAAATACCATTTGATGAGCAAAATATGTTCAATATTTTGAGGTTCATAGTGTATAGTCCTCCTTTCTTTGTGATGCTTCAGCACTTTTCAAGAAACTACAACAAAAGTCAAAGCTCTCCTATATAGTCTCAGCTGTAAACTTGAGAAAATAAACTGCAGTTCACTAATTGTTCCCTTCCCTCCTAATACAAATATCCAGAAGGACATGACTTATTCCTCAGTAGAAAAGCAACCACCTGAACTATTTTTAGCGACTGTCAGATTAGGAACATAAGTAAACTGACAGGCACTCTGTAGGTGCCAAACCATGCAGAGGCTTTTGGCAGTCCCCTGCGTTCTCATGCCAGTGCCAGCTATTCCACTGAGCTGGAGCCATTGCACAATCTCCTTCTCAAGCGCTAATAAAACCTTTGTTACAGAAAATCAGGCCTTGGACTCTCTTCGGTTTTGCAGGGGGAATTTAAACAATTCCATTTACCGTGCTGTTATTGTGGTGGGTGTTAAATTAAAGCCATCGCTGAAGTTAAAAAGTACGCGTGACAGGTAATGTAGCTACAAGAGTAACAAGAAACTGAGGGTAATATAAAGCAATAAGGGTGCATCAGTCTCCCCCCCCCCATGTTCTTTGCAGACCTAGCAGGCTGATAATGTCATGGAAATGAATGTATATGTTGTCTGTAGAACCTGTCCAGTGATGTTTTCCAATTCTGAATCTTGTCTTGTGATCACTTTTCCTCTTATTTTATGATGACTACTCTGCTGACTTTCTGTCCTTGTAATTTAGTAACCAAGATGCCATGTAAAAACAAGACAAACACCCTACAGAAGCATGTCATATGCATCAACACTGTTACCTCTAGCAAACAAACATATGAACATATTTTTTAAAATATTTCAGTTTATTTCCTAGATATTTTTCATAATCAGTATCAGCTTCCATTGCCCTCTTTAGCCTGCTTAATTTCTTTTTTTCACCATTCTTTCCCATATCAATGTCAGCTTGACAGACCTATGGGTTATTCTTCACAACATCTCGGTTCACTGTTAGTTTTCTTCTCATCTTTCCGTCTCCTTCATGCCCTTTGGGATTTCTGCATTCTTTAAATATTTATTGAAGAAAATATTAACTATCCAAAAGGCTTTTGGTCTTAAAAAAAAAAAAAAAGTTGTATAAATGTGTCAGATCTCCAGAGTTTAAGATGTCCAACAACAACAGCTCCTGTTCAGCACCTTCCTTAATGACTATCAGGCAAATTAATTAATTAATTAATAGGTGCCACAATTGCAAGATATCACTATTTCATTGCAAAGTGGAGATGCTTTTCAATGAAATAGTGACAAGATCCTAGCCCTTGCAGAGGTTTTACGAATAACCCCACCTTTAAAAACAACTGTTTTGACTAAAACCATAAGGGAAACAACAGGAGCACTTGAACAAGATCTGCTGGCCTGACAGCACATACTATGCCTTCACAATGAGATTTAATCTCCTCAGTTAAGAATTAAGAGTTGAAATGTTCATAAATGAAACTGAAGGAATTCCCTATTATTAAAAACATGTCTACCATTTACGATAACCTAACTGTATTTTATCCTGTCATAGTTTCCTTGACACCCTTTGAGCATTTTATCCTTGAGAAACAAACCAGTCAGATTTCTCTTTTCCCCACTGTATTACTGAATGTCTGAAACCTAAATTTGTGTATCTGTTCAACAGTTTGCTTGTATTTGTTTGATGTTATACACAAGGGATAAAAGTACACCAACTCAGTTAAGACACTGAATTACCACCCAATTCTCTGGAAATTTCAAACTACTCATCAGTTGCTAGCAGGATTAGAATGAATCCTGAAGGCTGCTCAAAGACGTAGCTACCAAAAAGTGTATATCCCTGACTATAGCTTAAACTGTCACACACAGGATGAGAAAAAACTGTGGAGCAGCTTTAGGTGGCTGCAATATATAATTCCCCAACCATCTCTTGCAAACAGTACTGCCACATGTAACAACCACATAGGTGAACTACTTCTTCTATCAGAACTTATCCAGAGATAAATAGGCCACTAATAAAACAAGGAATCTTTTAGTAACGTATGTTAACTTCCACTAGTATGTCTTTATTCTGTGTACAGTAAAACTCTGCTAATTTACTATTGGAACAATTAAATAGCAATAGGTCTAACCCCTATGAATAACTGATAAATTCACATTCAAACAATTGTCCCAGGGTTGGGTTTATGGGTTTTTATATTGATTTTGATTTGGATCATTATGTGAAAGAACTCATTTACTTCTGTCATTTTGAGATTCGTGTTCAGTTTTCAGTGATAACCTTTACCAACAAACAGATTGCCACTGAAATACCATACACCAGCTTTGTATACTTTTTTTGCGGTTACCACTAATTGGACAATAGGAAAAAATGAAGTTAAATGTTAAGATTACTTTTCACTTTGTAGCAGGAACAAAACAGAACAGAATTCTTATTTAACTTAAAAGGCAGGCAAACACTGTACACTATCTAAGATCTAAACCACCTACATCAGATGCCTACAGAATCTATATTTATAAAAGTAGGGTCTCCTTAACACAAGCAATAGGATTTTTGCCTAAATCATATATGCCCAGTATTAATGAAATATTGATACAAAACCAAACAACTAATAAACAAACTCAAATATTTCCCCCCCCCTTTTTTTTTTTCTTTTAATTTCTTCTATGGATTATACAAAGAAGTTCATCAAATAGTGATGATAGTAATCTGAACCACATGGGTTTACATGAACCCATAGATTAAACATAGATGCTCATAAAATGCAATGAAGAAAAGAGGAAAAATGTCTGAGAAATTAAATGGGTGAGCAACAAACAGCAAAAGAAAGACAAATTCAGCTGACAGGTTAATTTTTCTCTTCAAGTAAGAGGAATAAGGCAGTAGGTTTGTGAGAGTTGAGCTGCACTGTAGAACTACATTAATACAAGTATCTGCTCAGGCTGTTAGTTCAAAGGTCAACCATGAATTAGGCAAAGGAGATTGACTGCAGTAGGAAGACAGTGATGAGATAAAAAATGGGTAGCAGCACTGCTTTCTGGTAAAGAACATCATGACCACCTTCTTCCGTAAGTTGCTGGTAGTGTTTAGTACTCATACAAGTGTAATGTGCACACATTTATAAAAGAACCAAGTGAAACACAGTGTGGCTGTTTTGAGTTGGGAGAAAAGCACAGAGTCAGTAATTGCTATTTTTTTTAAGTTGACTTTGAATTAAGCAGTTGGAATAGCTACTGGAAAAAAACACTCTGCTGAGTATCAGTTAATGTTTTCACTGTGGTCTTCTACAGCATGCTGTCATTGAACTACCAGCATGGAATAGCACTCATGGGACCAAACATTGTCACAGGACTGGCTTCCTTTCAGAAAGCCTTGCTGATCAAAATGCCTGAATTTCACCTGCAAATCAATAAACTGTATGTGTAGCCTTTGGTGATTTAAGAAGTTATGCCACAATCAAAGAGAGAGGTGAGCAGAATGACTTAATGAGACACTGAATGGGATGGGTTAGGCATTTGGAGAAACAGGCTGGACTATTCATGCCAGTAAGATGATTACCTAAAGCCACTACCACCCTTGCTTAATTGGCCATTCTGTAATGAATTAATGATAGGCAAATGTGTAGACTCCATAACAGAAAAAAAATTAGAGCTGAGATCTCCCTTCCTAAAAGAAGCAGTACTTGAATTTGCTAAAGGCTGTCTGATTCCCATATAACAACACTCACACCAACTGAGAAGTTACTACTTTTTCTTATTTATGCTACAATTTCCACATTTGTGAAAAGCTGATAACTAGCCTAATATTTCCCTTAGATTTCCACCAGTTGTGGCATGTATTGCAATTTTAATACATTTATTTCAACTTGCGTTGAATGTATGAGGAGCTGCTGGAAAGCATTAGGAAATGGAAATGCAGCAGCTTTCTTCACAGTAATTGATGACTTCCAATCAAGATACGGTAAATACCAAACCAAGGGTAAGGCAACAGAAGTTTCATTGTTGTTTTAAAGGGAATTTAAAAGCAGGTAATAGTAAAGCTAGAAATTGCCTTAGCAAGAATTTTGCCTAAATAACAATTCTGAAAACAAACCCAACCCAAAACACACAAACCCCAAACCCCAAGTATGCTTTCTCTTTTTCTGGGGAAAAAAAAAAAAAAAAGAGAAAACAAACAGTACTCTCAAAAGTGTTCTCGATTCTGCCAACAGTATCCTCAAAAGCCGGAAAGAAAACAAAGTACAGTGCGTCTTTCAGCATAACATCTCCATGTGATATGACTGGCCTCTCTCTAGCCTTTCAGGGGTTACTTCTGGTATCATTGCTGAATAAAAGCATGACTTTAAATACTGTATTTCAGAGGATATGCAGTAAGGAGTTCATCTCCTCTTCCACTGCAGCTCTACACATTTATCACTGCCTTTGAAGAACATGATTAACATTTTCAATTGATGGTAATGGATAATTATTTTTATAATTCACTAATCAAAATCCAGAAGTTTATATAAGCAGATATCCATGCCAAATGGAAGCATATACTGCCCTTTGTTTGAAATTTATACAGTTTCCTTACATTTGTGTTAAGCAAATGTGTCAGAACACATTATATCTCTACAGTTTGTCATGACATTTAGTCTCTCAGAGCTCACTGAAGTTACAAGGATTCTTTATCACATGCAGTGCTACAGGAGGATGACTGCAGGAAAGACTATAACAATATTCTGTATGAGTAGGAAGGAGAACCTTTGCTGTTGTATTAATTTACCTACTGCCCCGGTCTTTAGTCTTAAGATCCCATTATGCTGAAGAAGCTCTAATTTTACAAGACAACATGAATTTTTTGTGTGGGGGGTGTGTGCTAGGTGGG